ATTTTATGATCAGATGTACCTGAATATGAATCCCAGTTCTGTCACTTATTAGCTGAGAAACTTGATCAGATTAATTTTGTCTTCATTTTTTTCGTATGTAAAAAGGGGTTGAAAATAGTACTTACAACTCATATGGTTGTTGTATGTGCATGTTTTATATATACAGTTTCATGTACAATACTTGGAATATGCTAACAGCTCAATAAATGTTAGCTACTGTTATTATCAGTAGCATTACCACGTTCCTAGTCATCCAGGTTCCAATAGCTCAGTCATCTTTTATATATTGTCGTTTTAAAAAAACAATAAATACAATCAGCATTTGTACATTTTATTTTCTAGCACAATCTGTTTTTCATTCTCTGATAGTTTAAGACTATTATCATAGCCACCTAACCAGATTACTAGATTTTATGTTTAAAGGGTAGAAACCTCTTAGTTTTGTTTCCCCTATACTACCTAGCATAATGCCTAATACATATATTTTACTATTAGACAACTAATCTTTACATCTATTTATTCCTCCATTGATCCCTTAAGTTCTTTCTTTTATGAAGAGTTCCTGACTCAAATCAGGTAAACTCTTCTTTATGGCTTTTTACTTTTAGATTTTATTTATTTATTCTTAGACAGAGGGGAAAGGAGGGAGAAACAGAGGGAGAGAAACACCAATGTGTGGTTGCCTCTCATGCACCTGGCTCTGGGGAACCTGGCCTGCAACCCAGGCATGTGCCCTGACTGAGAATCGAATCAGCAGCCCTTTGTTTCGCAGGCCGGCACTTAACCCACTGAGCCACACCAGCCAGGGCCCCTTTAGTTTTTTGAAAGCAGAGAATATCTTGGTCCTCTGTGTATATTTACACCTGCCAAAATCCCTTAGTAAATAAATGTTTGAATAAATGAATGTTGAGTAGCCTTACTGTCTCCAAACCTATCATCAATCTAGCTATCTCATAAGCAAATGGTAAGTCTTATATTCCCTAATCCAACCATTTATTCTGACCAAACTGGCCTCACTACAACACTATCAAGAGTAGAGTCTTGCTGTTAATAGTCAGGACTCTTATTCTGTACCCAAAAGTGCTACTCAAATTAAGCAGAAAAGGGAATTTATTAGTCTGCATAATTTGGAAGTCCAAGGTTAGCATCAACTGGCTATTGATCCAAAGGTATATACAGATCCAAAGGCTCAAACACTATTATTAGAACTTGGCTTCACTCTTTCTTTTGGCTCTGTTTTCCATTTACTGGCAAGCTCCAGGATCACATTCTATGTTCTCAGCAACCCCAGGGTTCAAAGCATGCCTTTTCCTCAACAGTTGGAATAAAAAGTTCAGAATTAACACTTATGTGGGCTGATTAGAAAATACACCCTTCTCTGGACAATCACTGTGGCCAGTGGGATGGATAACATAGATCAGCTAGGCCTGAACCACTTGCACACCCTTGTGTCAGAGTGGGATCCATGTAACTGAGAGGGGTGGTTCCCTAGAAAAACTGGAGTACAGTATTATCAGATGAAAGGGGTATGCATGGGATGGACTAGCAAAATTATCTGTTGTGCCCTATACTCTAAAACTGTTTGCATGTCCATGAGTGCCTGGCATGGCTTTTCTTCTCACTTCTGCCTACCCAAAACAAAGCTACGTCCTTTCTGACTCTAAAAGTCTTCTGTGATTTCTCCTAAGATTTTCCTTGTCCACTGAACCAAATCACTCATTCCCAAATAAGTATTTCCCTTTTTGTTTTCCCTAAAGCTCTACCTTTTAAAATGAACAGGAAAGGAAAACCACCAGAAAATGTTCCATGATGAATTCTAATCATGTCAAATTATAAACAGAATATAGGTAATATGGACTGTTTCTTTTCTTTTTTTTAAGAGGGAGAGAGGAAGAAAGAGAGAGATACACACATCAATTTACTGTTCCACTTGTTTGTTTGGTTGTGTCTTATATGTGCCCAGACTGGGAATCAAACCCGCCAACTTGGCATTTCGGGATAAAGCTCTAACCAACTGAGCTACCAGGCCAGGGCTGTGCTGTTTCTTAGAATGTAAACTCTTGAAGGATAGCAGCTTTACCAGATACATCCTATACATTATGAAAGAATAAAATATGTGAAAAATTTGATATATGCTCCATTCAAATACTTTTTTTGGCTTTAAATTTCCTGTATGGTCTAACCAAAACATTTTAGCTAACATAAATTGGGTCTGACTTCACTAATGTGAAAGGGGAACTCAGGAGTTAAAGATTTTAGCTTCAGTCATACTTGATAGGTTTAAGTGACTAATGCATGTGGAAAGCTTTTCCAGGAACTGGAATGTATGACCAAGTGACTCCAAGGAGGTAGACAAACAATTCAACCTTTGTGCCCCAGGGGGTCTGCAAGCAATGGAGATGGTATCTGAACCACACTGTGTTCCAGGGAAGGAAGTCCAGGACACAGACAGAGAATTGTTGATCAACAGATAAAGAAGTACTAGGAAAATCACCAATGGACTGCAACTCTGATCCAATCAAGCTTTTTTCCAAACCCCTTACCTACCCTTTTTTCTCCTCATAAAAAGGTAGGCTTGAGATGCAATATTAAGACTGTTTTTGAGGGTGCATAACCCGCTGTCTTCTCAGATTGCCGGCATCTGGATAAGGCACTAATTGAATCAAGATTCAATCTTTGTCTCTACTTATTGGTTCTGGTAGTGACAGGCAGCACAACTGCCAACTTTTCCAGTTTCAAAAGTTCCTAGTATAATAGGTAGACTATGGTTTTGGAATTACCTCCAACTAGGCTCAAGAACTAGCTAATACCACCTTCCCTGGCATTCAGCTACAGGTCCTTGAGCAAATTATCTTCTCTCTCTAGGCCTTGGTTTCACTATCTGTAAAAATAGAATGGTAATAACTGTCTATACATAAGAGACTAGGCTATGAGGTATAGTGGAGAGAAAATAATTAGATGGACCTTGGCTGAAATTCTACCACTACTAGTTAATGGGACTTTCTCTGAGTGATTCCTCAGAGAAGGTCCTGTAAATTCTAAGTAATTCCTCGTATGTAAAGTGGGGATTATAATATTTAATCCATTGGTTGTTATTCATTTAACATGATGATGTATTTTAAAACATCTAACATGATGAATAGCAAACAGTTAAAACTCAATAAATGATGTTATCCACATCAAATTATCTGTTTAAAATGATTCAGAGAATAACTCAAGTGTTTTTGTCCTTCCCAAGGTCTGCCAAAGACTTAGTAAGTGACATTTCTAACATATTAAAATGAATTTAGTAATAATAGGTCATAAAATACTTTGTAGTCTTTTTTTCATTTACACTTTTTGACCAGATAAAGTATCAACCAACCAAAAATATGGTTTATATATATAAACTATTAAAATAATAAAATAAACATGGGTAACAAATTCGAAATTCAGAGTACAAGAAGAAGTTCATTGGGATTACTTATAAGTCTTCATAAATGCCCATGGGTTTTCTTTGTTAGTTAATATTTCTTAATGGCAAAACACTTTGGTCTTACAACTGTTTAAACGATGGTAAGATAATGAACTAGATAAACTACTGTAATCAATTTGTTCTTTAGCTTCAGGCTTAATGTAGTAATATGAAATGATTCACACCAATATGAAATTGCTATGCTATCCCCTGAATATACAGCTATTCCCAAAGATAATCAGAAAATATGGGGTATTAATGACAATTTTAGATGTAATCTATCAGAACACATGCAAAAGGCAAGTGGCTGTTCATATTTACCTTAGCAATAAAGTTTAACTTTAATGTCATTCACTAAAAAATACAAACTATATTCAGTACAACTGTTTCCAAAAAGTGATTAGATTTAACAAGAAGGCATTTAATTACTTCCATTTCACATGAGAGCAAGCGTTTCTTTGGAAAGAAGATTCCTGAAGTAGTTTAACACTGTGTTTTTCTAACAAGACTGAATCATATGTACTATTTACCAGTCTTTAATGAGTGCACAAACATAGGAAGGTGTTAAAGATTTTAAAATAAGAAATAAGAGGGAATAATTAGACACAAAATACTATAAATTATTTGGTTGCAAAAACACTATAAGAAAATAAACTATTTAATTATATCATGCTACTCAAACTTAAGGGATTTTTTTTCCTTTGTATTTGTGCAGAACATGAATAGACTCAGCTTTTAATCTACCCCGAGGAGCTGTATTTTAAACACAAGAGAAACATTATGGTGAATATCTCAGTTAACAGACATTGCTCTCTACAACAGCTCTATACGACGAAGAAACCCTAATTCCTTATTACCTTCACTGGGTTCAAAAGTATGTATAAAGCAAAATGTTTTTTTTTTTAAGCATGAAATAGTGATATGGTAGGCAATCTTTATCTTTTCGAAGTAGTATTCTACTTTGGGGGGTCATGAGGAGAGAGGGGGCACGAGTAACTGGAAGTCGGAGGGTGGGCTCTAGTTATTTTAACAAGATCATTTGGTAAGTCAACTACATGAAGGCGGCGAAAGCACAGTTACAGCGTTTGGGTTCATGTTAAAAACAACTCTCGAAAAAACGCCAGTGCTGAGATCTAAACATTCCTGACCATACAGTGACCAGCGCTACTGAGATCTAATTAAGAGCGCGCTACAATCCCCGGTCTCAGCAGAAACCTGGGTGGGGCAAGGGTCTATCTCAGCAGGGACTGAAGTTAATTTTCTAGGAAAGGAAACCACCACCCATCAATCCCCTACAGTCTTCCCCGAAAGATGCCGCTGTCTGCCCCTCCCCGTCTGCCCCTCCCCGAGCTCCGGATCTGGCCCGTAGGCCCAGGAGCGGAGTTGGGGAGTGGTTGGGGCAGTCGCCTTCTCCCGTTATGTGCGGATCCTGACTAGGAACTATGGGAACAGCGCATTAACTCCCCGAGAGGTCCCCACCAGCTTGGGCCGCCTCCTGCGGCACCCAGGGCCTCCCGTCTGCAGGGATGTTCCCAATCCCACTCACCCGCCCGGGTGGTGTCCGTCAGATCGTGGTTGGCGGCTCCCCGGGGAAACTCCCTCAGTTTCCGGCCGCTCAGGCTCAGCACCCCGGTTACCGCTGCCTCCTCCAGCGCTCGCTCAAGGGAGCGGCTCCACGAGCTTGGGCCAGGACCAGGTCCTGCCCCAGAGCTTGGGCCGCAGTTAACACCGGAAAGGTTACCTCCCGACGCTACTGGGCCAGAATATTCTGCAGCTGTAGCCACAGCGACCAAGCCCGCTGCCGCCATTTCCCAGACGACAACTACTAGACCCAGTGGTTCCGCGCATGCGCGGCGAGACCTGAGGGTTGGGCGGGGAAATTTATAGACCCCAGACGGTTCTCTGGACGGAAAAAAAAGACTGTGGTGCCCTTCGTGCATCTAGGCGCTTGCCTCCGCCCACTAGGTTTTCACAGGAAAATAAAACAAAAATCTGGAGTAGCCACTGCTCCTCTAGGCTCCAGGTACATTTTGCCCCTGCAAAAATATCTTTCAGACAGCACTCCTCACCTGCTTTCTTCCCTCAGTATTGGAGGATTAGAGTGAGCATTAAGGTTTCTTAACACTTGCTGCCAGAAACTTTGGCTGGGATGTGACATAAAACATTTCCCAACTTCTGTTATCTGTAAATCAAATGATCCAAATGGAGACTTGCGCATGTATTCACTATTGCCTGATGAAAAACTAGACTGGCTCCCAAATTCCACAGGTCTCATCTAAAGGATTATACACATATACACATATACACAGCCCTCCTTCACTTTTATGAAATAGCTCGTAACAAAACCAAAATGAGTATCTTAAATAGTACTTGTCCCTTTAGGCAAAATTTTAGGTAGCATAAACAGCATTAAAGTCTAAAATTTCGGTTTGCAACCAAAATTGAGCAAATCATCTGACCATAATTTAAATGTGAGAATTAAAGGTAGAACTGAAGAAAATGGTTTAAAAAAAAATGTAGTTCCAAAAAAGTGGAAAATACCACATTTTAAACCAATTAGACTTCACTTATGTTGCAGTCTAGCATATTCTTGAGTGTTTTATTTTTCGGGGGTGGGGGGGGACGGACATTTAAGCCATTACTGCTATATGATGTAAATTTCCCCAATATTCAATCAATCATCAAATATTTACTGTGGGAAATAGAAAAGGCTGTCAGATACAGCACTTTTCCTAAGAGATTATAATCAATTTATAGAATCCAGACAGAACAATTAGAAAACAAGACACAAAAAAGGCCTGAGTAGGAGTGGTGTGATTATCAATCAGAATTCGGAGAAAAGGAATCTGTATCATGGATGGCTGAGGTTTTGAATTAAATCTGTATTAAATGAGGTAGGTTGGAAGGTGGAAGTAATGTTACAGATTGTGAGGAGGATCAGCATGACCAAACCCAGGTATGATTTATAATAGTACATACAGAGAACATCAGGGCCATGGACCAAAGACCATGACAGAAAACATAAGAAAGTAATGTTGGGGAGATCCTATAAATCATTCAAGGCCTAAATCTTCATTAAACCTTGACAAGCATTTTCCCCAACTCCTAATTGGAAGAGATTGTAAAAATGTTTAATCTCAGTGGCAAAGACAATTAGTAAGGACTACTCAAGAGTTCTATGAACTCAAGACTACACATTAGGTTCTTCAGCAACAAGTTTCATGTTCAATTATCAGTGTTCTTTATGTGCATGGGTCACTGCAATGTAAGTAATATATTGTTATTTGTTATTCCTGGCAAATAACATTTATCCTATGCATGAATTGGTTTTTATTCTGGTATTCCTAAAATTTTGTTACTCTTAGAAAGATTTTAAACTATTTAAGAGCAGGATCTCATTTTATAGAGAGGCAGTATTTCAACCACAATGACTAAAAAGCATAATCATATATTCCACACTAATGCTACAATGCTATAGAAATAGTTGCCAGATCTTTCTAAAATGGACTACATATCATCTATATTTGATTACCTATTACTTTGCACATTTACACTAAACTCTTCTGACAAGTCCTCTGTAATGTGACTTCCTTCCTTTCTACCAGTACATCTCATTATAACAACATTCCATACAAATTGTGGTCTCTACATTTCTGGCCAACTTTATAGACTGATGTTTCTTTGTCCATTCAACTAGATTTTAAGGCCCTTAGTATGTTAAACTCTATCATCTTCCATAACTCAGGGCTGAGCATATTTTTTTAAAGAGGGCAAAACTTTTAAGAGTTTATTTATTTTTAGAGAGCGGGGAAGGGAAGGAGAGGGAGAGAAACATCAATGTGTGGTTGCCTCTTGCTCGTCCCCACTCCCCACCCCGCTGGGGACATGGCCTACAACCCTGGCATGTGCCCTGACTGGGAATCAAACCACTACCCCTTGGTTAGCAGGCCCGCACTCAATCCACTGAGCTACACCAGCCAGGGCAGGGCTGAACATATTAATAGGAGTTAAAAAATAGTAGAAAAAAGCAGAGACAGAAGGTGGGTTAAGTACTAACAGAGGTTATGTACATTATACAGGAAAGAAGTTTGGGAGGAAAGAAAAAAGAATTACAGCCCCGAGCAGTGTGGCTCAGTTCCTTAGGTGGCATTCTGCAAAGCAAAAGGTCACAGGTTCACTTCCTGGTCAGGGCACATGCCTGGGTTGCAGATTTGATCCTGTCCCAACTAATTGATGTTTCTCTCCAGGTCTTTCTTCTGCCCTTCCCTCTCTACAAATACATAAGTAAAATATTTTTTAAAATTTACAACTTTTGAGAACAAAATAAATAGGAGGTAAATATTTGAAAGCCAAAAGACAGGCTTGTGATGAGGAAAATGGAGGTGCTATATATACACCATTATACTAGAATAAGTCCTGGGTAAAGAAAGCTGGTAGATCAAGAACTTACTTTTGAGACTTTGAAGGACTTAAGGTTTCATTTATAAAGGAAAGGTAGAATATGAAAGAACTGTCATTCTACTCCTCCAGTATTCTTCATAAAGCAAGTGACAAGATCATCTTGCAAAATCAAGATATAAGAAATGGAGTCATTGTGGGAAGTGTAGTGATGAATAAAAGTGATGAGAAACAGTTGCAAAAAAGCTGTGAGCAAAAGGGCTACAGGGATCTATAATTTATTCCACTACCGCTCTGTAGTCTGGAAGCAGTTGAAAAATAGGCAGTGGGAGTTATTTAATGTTAGAAATAGATACAGAGAATGCCCCTGCTTCTTCCAGTTTTATAGACTGACAGTGAGAAGCAAAGTTTTCTTTTTTTTTTTAAATATTTTATTTATTTTTTTAAGAGGGAGGGGAAGGGAAGGAAAAAGAGAGGGAGAGAAACATCAGTGTGTGGTTGCCTCTCACGCACCCCCAAGTGGGGACCTGGCCTGCAACCCAGGCATGTGCCCTGACTGGGAATCGAACCGGTGACCCTTTGGTTCACAGGCCGGCACTCAATCCACTGAGCCACACCAGCCAGGGCGAGAAGCAAAGTTTTCACTCAAATCTCAATACTTCTCTCCAGCTCTACATCACATAGAAATAAAGCCTTTCTCCCTTTCTACTCACTAAAAATATATTAGTCATTCCTTTAAGGCTCTACTTTTATAAACTCAAAGCAGTAGGGTTAAAATCTGTCAATTCCAATCTCTTCAAATGTAAAGCACAGAAACTGGTTTGTTGAATATAGTCAATGTTTGGTCCTTCCCTTTCTGACTCCTTTAATAAACACTAATAATTGGCTTTTTAGAGATTTATATAAGAAAATATAGACAATGTGATTTCTCTTCTCATTAGGGAAAAATGGATATATAAATTCAACACATACATACTAAGGAAATAGTTTTCTATTCATCTTTAAACATCTGTAAATACCTGAAGACATTAAGAACAAGGAATTTTAGTCCCAGAATGGTATCACATTTCCTTATTTTACCAAACTTTATGTTGAAAAGATTTCAGATAATAAACGGTAAAAGCAGGAAATAAAAAGGAACATTAGAAATCAACAGTTTATAAGCAAATCTCTAAATCTCTATTAATGGTCCACAATAGTCCAGAATTCTTGTTGTAAATGCTTGGGCTCATTGGTATCATTTTTAAAAATAGACAAATTCCAACTTGATCGATGCAAAAAGAACTCTCTCTTAAAGGAAAGCTTAAGTCACGTTTCTTCTTCTACAGTGGCAAAAAATAATCATATAATTCTGATGCAAGTTCAAAGGTAGACTGATCAGAAATGAAGAAATCATTTTCTGCCCTAATACTGCCCAAATTCAGAATGTGTTATCAATTTTCTTTAGTGCAAAGTCAGCTATTTTTTTCCTCACTCTTCTCTCCTTATGGCAAATAAACAGAAAAACTCCCCCCACAAAAAACAAATTACCCTGACACTGTGTATTTTGTGTGAATTATGAAAGCTATTGACAGCAAAATATGTCTGTTCTAACAAAAAATAACCATTGGGCAATGAAGCCTATTTTCTTCATACTCAGAAGTATTTTATGATTTGCTTATAATTAAAATTGTGGTATTCTGTACCAATAAGTGATGCTATGTGTGCTTGTGCCATTTTGAAGACTTTAACTTTCTCAGGTTATTAATCAAAATTATTGTATGAGTTAGCCAATAGAATCTTTAGGTTAAAACAACAGATGAAGCATTTTTGGAATGTTTAATGTAATAAATATTTTTGGACATTTTTAGTAGTATATGCCCTTTGCTCAGCATTTGAATGTTTCATATATTTTTATTTCACAGTTAATATCCCCTCCCCAAGACTGCTATTCCAATCTAATGCCTGAATGACATTTTCTAGTAGTTTGACATATTTTTTGAGGAATAGTTTGTGATTCCAATGCAGCTGTCTTCATTACTGTTACCATTCATTATATTGTGGAAAAAGCAAACCCCTTTGATAGAATTACTGCATGTGTTTATGGGGAAAATACTTTATAAAGACTAGAATTATACAAGTGAGCGAAAACAAGTTGGTCAGCTTGACTATGGAGTGGTGGCAATAATATAAACCAGGGGTGTTAAACTCATTTCCTCTGGGAAGCCACATCAGCCTCCAGGTTGCCTTCAAAGGGCCGAATGTAATTTTAGGACTCTATAATGTAACTACTCCTTACTAGTTAAGCAAGAGCTCAGGGCTGCCACCAGGTAGAAACAAGGTGCCAGGACGGATAAAACAAGGAGGGCCAGATTGGGCCCTGTGTTTGCAAACTGTGATGTAAACATTCCAGAAGACAATGAGCTGAACCTAAGCTCCCTTGGAATCTGAACGGACACAGGAACATGGAATTGCCATTTGAAAACTGCTACTAGGTAGTCTGGACCTCAGGGGCAGATCAGCCAGTAGCCTAAAGTCATTTCAAGTACAGGAACTATATTGGGATTATAGATATATAAATTTAAACATTGAGTGTAACTTCTTTTAAGAATATTTGTACACTCGAGGCTATGCAGAATTGACTCTATTTCTTCAAGTGTGATATTGAGTTGACTATGTTTCTTTCTTTACCAACTCATTATTCCCCTTCCTTTTCCTAAGGCAATAGTGCACAACTTAGGTTATGTTTGCTTCAAAAATTTGAATGGAAAACTTCATGTCATGATCTTTTCTTTCTTATAAGACACCTGGTTTATCTCCTTGTTCAAAAGTAAATGTTCTCTTATGCTTTTGAAATTACCTTTTATAAAAAAAAGGGGTGAAGTTTATGCCTATTAGAAAAAAATACATAGTCTGATTAGGAACACTAGTCTTTTCTAATAAGTCTGTCAACAAAACTTGAATACTAAAGTAATGAACTCTTACAATCACCACTGATAGATTTACTTATGATACCACAAATGCTGAAGCACTACCATTTCTTAGGTATCTGACAAGGCTCACACCATTCCACTACTTTCTGTGGGTGTCCAATTCACAAGAACAGCTTATTATGAACTGAGAATTAAAGATCTAACTTCAGGCTTCCAGCCAAGATGGAGGCATAGGCAGATATACTCTGCTTCCTTGCACAACAACCGAATGAAAGACAAAAAACAACCAGAACTGCCAGAAAATTGAACTGTATGGAAGTCAGACAAACAAAGAAACATTCATCCAGACTGGTAGGAGGGGTGGAAAGGATGTGAGACAAGGGGGCGGCTGGCAGACTGGGCAGTCCAACACTAGTGCGGATAAAGCAGAAGAAACAATTAGGGACCAAGACAGACCATGCAACCCTGGATTCCAGCTTAGGAAACTAAACTCTCAAAACCTCTGGCTGTAAAAACCTGTGGAGGTTGAAACAGCGAAAGAAACTCCAAGCTTCACAGGAGATTCCGTTTGAGAGATCCACAGGGTCCTAGAATGTACGCAAGCCCATCCACTTGGGAATCAGCACCAGAAGGGTCCAATTTGCTTGTGGATAGCAGAGGAAGTGACTGAAAATAGGGCAAGAGCCCAGCAGCATGCGGCAATGTTCCCTCTCTGACCCCTCCCATACACACACCACCACAACGCAGCAATGTGGGTTACCCCACCCAGGTGAAACCCTAAGGCTAGCCGAGACAAAGAAATATGGCCCAAATGAAAGAACAGATCAAAAATCCAGAAAAACAACTAAGTGACGAAGAAATAATCAAGATGCAGAGTTCAAAACACTCATAATCAGGATGCTCAGAAATGGTTGAATATGGTCGCAAAATAAAGGAAGAAGTGAAGGCTATGCAAAGTGAAATATGTAAAAGTATACAGGGAACCAACAGTGAAAGGAAGGAAACTAGGACTCAAATTAACAATTTGGAGCAGAAGGAAGAAATAAACATTCAACCAGAACGGAATGAAGAAACAAGAATTCACAAAAAAATGAGAGGCTTAGGAACCTCTGGGACAACTTTAAATGTTCCAACATCTAAATAGGGGTGCCAGAAGGAGAAGAGGAAGAGCAAGAAACTGAAAATTTATTTGAGAAAATAATGGAGAACTTCCCCAATCTGGCAAAAGAAACAGTCTCTTCCAGGAAGTCCAGGAAGCTCAGACAGTCCCAAAGAAGCTGGACCCAAGGAGGAACACACCAAGACACATTATAATTAAATTACCCAAGATAAAAGATAAAGACAAAATCTTAAAAGCAGCAAGAGTAAAGGAGAGAGTTACCCATAAAGGAGTTCCCATAAGACTATCGGCCAATTTCTCAAAAGAAACAGGGCTGGAAAGAAGTACTCAAAGTCATGAAAGGCAAGGACCTACATCCAAGATTACCCTATCCAGCAAAGCTATCATTTAGAATGGAAGGGCAGATAAAGTGCTTCTCAGATAAAGTCAAGTTAAAGGAGTTCATCACCACTAAGTCCGTATTAGATAAAATGTTAAAGGGACTTACCTAAGAAAAACAAGATAAAAACTATGAACAATAAAATAACAATAAACTTACAACTATCAAAAACTGAACCTAAAAAACAAAAACAAACTAAGCAAACAACTGGAACAGGAACAGAATCACAGAAATGGAGATCACATGGAGGGTTATCAGCAGGGAAGGGGAGAAGGGTAGATGGGGAAAAAGGTACAGGGAATAAGAAACATAATTGGTAGGCATAAAATAGATGGGGAGGTTAATATTATGGAAAATGAAGAAGCCAAAGAACTTATATGTATGACCCATGAACATGAACTAAGGAGGGGAACGCTGTTGGGAGGGGTGTTACAGAGTGAAGGGGAATAAAGGAGTTAAAAAAAATGGGACAACTGCAATTGTATAATCAATAAAATATACTTTAAAATAAGATCTAACCTCAAAAAGACTCTGCACACACATCTTGGAATGCTGGATATCACTTAACTAAGATGTAAATAGAGGGGTTAAACTGGGTGATCTCTAAACACTCATCTAGGCTAGCATTCTGCATTGTAAATAAATTTGATTTTCTATTTTATTTTACATAAAAAAATTTATTGATTTTAGAGAGAGTATGTGCAGAATAAAAGAAACATGTTTTTTGTTCCACTTATTTTATGCATTCACTGGTTGCTTCTTATATATGCCCTGACATGGACTGAACTCTGAACCTTGGCAATTCAGAATGATGCTCTACCCAACTAAGCTACCGGGCCAGTGCCTTTGATTTTCTATCTTAACTCATCCTGGCTACTTCCTGTTGGGGCTACAAATGAAATGTTAAAATGCAGTTACCAGGATTCAATATCAGTTTTGATTTACCAATTTAATTGGTAGGTAGCTTTTCAAATCTAAAAATTATAAAAAATATAATCACTACAACATTTGTTGTTATATAGAACAATCTAAAAACCACAACATAATCTTTACAGCTAAGAATAAATCATTTGAGACCTGTAACATTTTATTTGTTAAAAATTAACAGCTTCAGAATATATCTAAACGTAACTTTTCCAAAAATCACCGGAAAGTACAGTGTAAAGCCTCTCCTCATTAAATATAAACTTTCATTTTGTGATGCACTGCATCAATGTTTTGCATACACCTTGATGCAAAGGAAATTTTTAGTTACATCTTGTTTTTGAAAAAAAAATTTTAAGAACTAAAAAAGAATGACTACTACCACATTCCAAGAAAGAAAATTTTCCCCCAACAAAGCATATTCTTATGTTTATATATAACACATTAGCACTGGAAAATTTTAATTTAGTTGTAACAAAAGCAAAATTTTATATTAAAAAGAAATGAAATTACAGATGCATGAAGAGCAAAAGTTTAATATACCAAAAACACTGTGTTGTTGCTTGATGTAGTTAATGTTAATATTTGGGGCAATTTTAATGTTTTCAAAAAATACATTAATAACAGTTCTGTAAAATATTTAAAATAATAAGAAAATGAAAACATCTTTATACCATATTTTCACAAACTGTTCTAAAGACAGCAAACTCATGCTCAGTTGTTTTTCCTCTGCTTTAAAATAAACTACCAGTAATTCTAAACCAGTCTAAAATGTATTGGTCATGGGTCATATCTAAGCATTTGTACTTGCAAAAATGTTTTACAGTGAGTGAGGCCTTGGCCTAAGGAGAGATGAGTTTATTTTTAAATTGTGTGACCAGCTTCCAGTAATCCAACATCAATAGATTTACTGGCAAAATACCAGATATTAAGGATCAGATTTAATTCTTTGGTAGGAGCATGAAACTGTTTTTGATAGCTTTCTGTGGCTAGCATAAACCAAGTAACCATGGGAGACAATAATGAAGTCTAGTATACAATGCAAGGCAGACAGGAGCCATAACTTAATGTCTTCTTTTTTCTTTTTCTTAACAGAGAAATCAATGCTAATTATACTGCAGGGAAGCTAGCACCTACTTAAGAGGATTTACCATTATAGCAAACCAAAAGGTTAAGCTTCAACATGACCAAACTTGTAAATGGATATTTTGCTGCATTTTGGCATTATACTGTAACTTATAGTATACAACCATCTGAGGACTCTTAGCACTAGCTTGGCACAACTGACGACTAATTCTTCCCATCCCTCCAGAGTGTGGCAGGAAATAATCTTTTTCTCACCACAAATGCCTCAACTTTATACAAGTAGTCAGAGTGAAAGGTATAAAAAAGGTTATAACATAACTCTATTTTCATTTCACATTTTTTTCTTCATGACATATTCAAGTATATTTTTGTTTTTGGAGCTGTATACTGTTTAATTTAATAAGCTTAAATGTCTATAAAGTTTAACTTTTCAAATAAGAAGAGTATAGGACTTTATGGCTATTAATTTTACTATCAAAATATCTAAGGGACTCAAACCATTTTAATAATTACAATTTTTCTAAATACACTTGAAGAATTCTTTGTGAACACTAGACTCAAGACCACACTAAATTCAAACAGTATACCTATGACCAGGGTTTTAAAGTTTATCACCTCAGTAACCTGTCTTCAACCTGCTACTTCCCCTCATGCTTTCTTCATTTACTTACACAAATTGTCAGATTTTCACATTGGACTTTCTCCTCCAAGGCTCTATTAGATAATTTTGTAAACATGCATTTATGGCCTTCAAACAGCAACATTTTTAAACTGAGACTAATGCCTAGAGTCACATATCTTTTTAAAATTTCAACTTTAAAGACTTATAACTCTGGAGCATTAACCTAACACTATCTGAAAAATGAACCAAGTTTCAGATATTCCCATAAATCTTAAAACCCAAAAGTGCAATTCTAATTTTTTAAATATCACTAGTGAAGAAAAGTCAACTGCACTTCTTATATCAACACTATTAAAGAATAAGTGATGGCAACCAAGGGGCCTACTCATATTTCTGAAGACCAAGATTTACCATGGTAAAGTATAAAACTGGGCAAAGGAGATGAGATCCTAAGTACCACTATCACAAAAATAATCAATTTCTGTCTTTCTGTCTTCTTTCTGCTGTATGAGGAACTAAAGAAGTCAAATAGCAAATTCTTCTGTCTGGGTCAACCAAGAAATCTTTAAGAACAGAAAGGCATTTTCCCTGTTATTCTTTCAGGGCATTATTTATACATGTTTAAAAAAATTCAAAAATAAAAATACAAGTATTTAGCCTTGTGAATATTTTCAAATACAGTTTCTTGAATTTCTGTGATGAACTCTTCAAGCAATTCAACTTTTTTAACAGAGTCATCACTCAAAGTCCCTTTAACATGGGTTCTATCCCACAGTTACAAAGCGGCTTCCACCTTTGCTGAATGTGAGAGTGGCTCTTTGTTCCTTCAGGATCCCAAATCGCTCATTCAAAGTCATTCCTGTCTAGAGAAAGTAAAACAAAACAAAAATTAACAATTTGACTGTAAGCCTTATTTACTTTGGAACAATGTGATCATAATGGTAATTCATAGTAACAATAACTAGCATTTCCTGAAATTTATGTGTATGAACTCTAATTCTAACAAAAACCATTCAAAACAGGTGAATTTAGTGACACTTAAAGAAGTTAGTTCATTTGCCTACTGTATAGCTCCAGAATTTAAACCAGGAAGTGTGACTCAGAATCTCCCCTCAGTACTATAATGCTCACATTATTCACTACATAAAACACATATACTATAATGCCTATAAGTCATACACCCAAAGATTTCTCTATCTGAATTATTTTTAGTCTCTGCAAACACTGCCACCAACTCTAGTGATGTCTCTGATAAAAGTATAGTTGGTTAGTCTTATGAAAATTTTCAAATAAATCTTCCTGAATTTCTGAGCTCTTGAATTTCTGTGAATTCAAAATCAAATCAAATCAAAATCTGGTTTTTGATGAACAGAAAGCATTTTGATGAACAAAAGCACAATCAAATTATATTCACCATTTCTGAAAGGAAAGTAACAAGAACAAAATAAAGTAAAAGTAAGCAAAATTAATTTGGTCAAATTTCTGTCTGCACTTCATATCTTCAATTCTGCAGATTTTTATGTCAATATATACAAACAAAGCATTTAACAAAATTTAACACCCACTCATGATAAAAATTCTCAGCAAATTATGAAGAGAAAGGAATTCCCTAAATCTGATAGAGAATCTACTACAAACCTACTGCTAACATCATACTCAATGATGAAACATTTAGTGATTTCTCCTCAAGCCTAGGGACAAGGCAGGAATACATGCTCTCACCACTTCTATTCAGCATTGTGCTAAAGGTCCTAGCCATTATAATAAAGAAGAAAAAGAAAAGGTTTAAAGATTGGAAATGAATCTAAATGATGACATGATTGTTTACATAGAAAACCCTAAGGAATCCACAAAATTATAAATAGTAAGTGAACTTTAGCAAGATCACAAGATCCTACATTATTACAAAAATTATCAAAACCAGAGTAAGCTATATCACTTCATATGCATTTGGGTGGCTATAACCAAATGATATACAGTAACAAGTGTTGGTGAGAATGTGGAGAAATTTAGAACCCTCATACATGCTGGTAACAAGATAAAATAGTGCAGCCACTTCTTTGGAAAACTGTCTGGCAGTTCCTCAAAAGGTTAAATATTGAGTTAGAGGCGACCTAGCAATTCTATTCTTAGGTATTTACCAAGGAGAAATGAAAACATAAATTCATATAAAAACCTGTAAATGTTCTGAGATGTATTATTCATAATAGCCAAAGAATGGAAATACAAATGTCTACCAACTGATAAATAAAATATGTCAATCCATATGATAGAATATTGTTCAGCAATAAAAAGAAATGAAATATTGATACACTTTGGGTGAACCCTGAAAATACTATTCTAAGTAAAAGAAGCCAGTCACAAAAGAGCACATATTATATGATCCCATTCATATGAAATGTCCAAAATAGGCAAATCTGTAGAGACAGAAAATAAATAGATCAGTAGATTCCTAGGGTTGAGGAGACTTAGGACATCCTATTCAATCATTTTGTTTTGTTAAGTAAAATATTCGTAGTGAATGGCCCAAAGAAATACAGGGGGGAAAATTTACCTGTTTTCCAACACTATTTATGTCAAATTGTAGGGGAACACCTTTAGGAACTTTCTTTACATCTGATGGCTCCCGTTTTGTCAAGAATGAGGGTACAGCAGTACGAGTTAATCGTGGTTTCTGAGTTCTATTAGAAAAAAATTAAAATGAAATTAGACCAGCTCAATAATCAAAAGAAGAAAAAGAAATAAGTCAGTACATAAAGACATCTTGACTTATACACATGTTCAAATGTGTTAGGGTAACTATTTTATTTGTGTTCCCAAAAAAAAGTACATGGTTCTTAATTGACTAATTTAGAGACTAAAATGGAATACCTCTTTAAGTAGAACTATAAACTTTTCAATAATTTTGAATGACTGCTGATTTCCAAGTCTTGATCTTCTACTAAAATAAAACAACCTCTGAAGTCTCATTAAAGACCTATCTTACATTCTTTTCATTTCAATCATTAAAATGACTAGATACAGCAAAAACTCCATAAATTTAGAAAGTTTATAATGCAATAAATATAATGGAATGGTTAACAAAATTAAGGTTATCTAGATAAAAGAACACCCTATAAAGACTTTTAAAGGAAGATAATTAAAAAAAAAATGTTCAAAATATACTGGAAGAGAAGGGAGCAAGTAGGTATAGTTTTACCTTATTTATTATTAAATAAAAATAGATTATATATTATTTGTTATACATGCATCAAACTTTAAAATAAAAATATAAAATTGTTGCTGGGGCCAGTTGGCTCAGTTGGTTGGAGCGTTGCCCCATACACCAAAAGGCTGTGGGTTCAATCCCCAGTCAGAGCGCATATATAGGCTGCAGGTTTGATCCCTGGTTGGGATGCGTAGGAGAGGCAACCAGTCGATGTTTCTTTCTCACATTGATTTTTTTTCTCTCTCTCTAAAATTAATAAACATATCCTCAGGAGAGGATCAAAAAAGGTGAAATTGTTAAAAGTGGTGACTTTGGGGCTATAGAACCAGGGATCAAGGGAGCTTTTGCTTTTAACTTTATGCTATACTATTTTCTATTTTGTACCTCAAGTATCACCTTTATCCTTGTCTCAGTTTATCCTAATTTGGACATCATACTGCAAGCAGAAGTCCAATACTTTTCTATTATCTTATATACTGAGAGGTTATAATTTCTGTAAAATAGAGAAAAGACTTACACTGGACACTGCACCGCTCCAGGGTTATCGATGGATACAGTCAAAATTCCTCCATTTGTGGTGGAAGTCCGCCATCTAGTTTCAGAAAACCAGAAACTACCTTAGAATAAAGTTTATAAATCCTATAATGTATTAAACATAAAAAAACATACATTTCAAAGTAGATACTACTTCTTCTTAGCTTTTCAGAAATACAACATCTTGGGCGTAAGAAATAAATGCTTTAATTTATTAAATATTTTTCAGTATAACAAACATACACATTTTAAAAATCGAATATAAAAAGGCTTTTAATGAAAAGCAACAGTCCTTCACCCCACTATTTTCCCCTTCTTGCTCCCTAGAGGCAGTACTTTTAACCTTTTCTATTTTTACTGCTTGCTGGTTACCTCTAGTTGACTAAACAAGATGCTTCTATATCTTACTATGATTATGATTTAGCTCAGCACGCTCTTCTTTGGTTTCCCTTCCTAACTCTAAATGTTTTGATGGCAGTATCACTATGTTTCTCCCATTATAACTTCAAATATACTTAAGTATCTTTCAGTATTATCTCTTGACACCATCCCCTCCCCATTTAGTATAAAAGAATAGTAGTAGTGCCTCTATTCCTTCCTTCCACCTTTTCTCCCACTTTTTTTATGAATTCTAACTGTTATATTTATGTCAGTTAGAATTTGACATTTGTACTATATTGTTACCAAATTAAGAATTTGTGCTTTGTAGCTCTGGCTGGCATAGCTCAGTGGATTGAGTGCGGGCTGCGAACCAAAGCATCGCAGGTTCGATTCCCAGTCAGGGCACATGCATGGGTTGCAGGCCACGGCCCCCAGCAACTGCACATTGATCTCTCTCCCCCCACTTTCCTCTCTAAAAATAAATAAATAAATAACCTTAAAAAAATTAGGGAAAAAAAAAAAGAATTTGTGCTTTGTTTCATAGGTTGATCTCAGAGTTCAAAACAACAAGCAATTTATATTACAATTATATAAATATTGTTCATGTAGAAGCAAATAGGCTATGATTGTCATTTCTTCCTTATTGTTTCCACTGTCATGAACCTGTGCCAAAGGATATTGCTAGAATCAAGTTCAAATAGTTCCCTTTCTTATACTCTAATTGCTCTAAATCATGTCCCAATTTAGTTGGCATCATATCTGGACCATGACCATGGTTTGTATGTTTTGTTTTCCAAAAAGTAGCCAAAATTTTAAATAATTTAATCTGAAAAACTAACCATATTGATGGAATTAGAATGTTGTAACTCATACTTGGGAAGTGCAATTCTAACAGACAAAAAAACATTAAATAAAAAAAAAAACCAAAAAACCTTAGTAGGGGTAAGGGGATAAAACATGTGAAAAGGGAAAATATTCTAATGTTTTTAAGGGACTACAAATTTTCTAAAAGCTCTACTGGATTTTCTTCTATTTATTTGCTGAACAGATTCATTTGTATAGAAGCAATTACAGACAATAAAGGACTATTTTATTAAAATGAAATAATTAGGCAATAAAAAAATTGAACACAGAGCAAGGTATTTGGTGCTAAAACTTGTACACACCTACATGAAAATACAAGTTTTGGGCAGGGGTCAGGGGAGCAAAAAAAGGATTCATTTATTTTAGGCTCAATGGTTAATTTACTTTGGGTCTCATTTAATTTCTTTTACACTAGGGCACAAAGTATTTTGGGTCACTAATATTCTGGGAGTTTTGAAACGACATCTTGAAAAACAAATTAAAACTTACTGACGAGTTCTCTTTGCTACTACATCGTCTAGCAGTTGTTCTGTGTTCACCTGGGCCTGAACCTGAAGGGAAAAAAAAAAGCAGTAGGATCCCACAAAAAGCAGAGGATTTGAATTCCAAAGAGCAATCCTCCAAACTTTAAAACCCAATGTGATATGTGTATGAATATTAGGAGGGGGCACGTGCCTATTCTGGCAACACCTCTTTGTTGGAGTTCTGCATTATAAGTAGTAAAAACAGGTTTATTCCTAAATAACATGTTAAGGTTTTGTTAAGATGTTGCTATTGAGGATAAAAAGAGAGTTTGGGGGGGGGGGGGGAGGAACTAATCTAATGTCATGTTCTCCATAACCAAACCCAACCCCAACCTCAACCATCAGCCATTCCTATCTATGACTGAGAAACTAAAAATGGATGCTTAGGATCCTTTGGGTAAAAAGAAAACATCACCAAGGGTGGTTGTACCTTTAGGCCTCTTCTGAAAAGAAAAGTTGCCTGACGAGTATCTTTCTGGTGACTTAATTTATTTCCACTTCTGGTATAATTGGTTGGAATGTTATTTCTAGAAAAACAAAAATAAAAGCAAAAACAAAACCACACATATGCATGAATAGTCTGAGCCATTTAACAACTTTCAAACATCCTGAGAAAACAATACACAAAAATAGTTAATTAAATTCATAGGATAATGTGAGGTACACTAAACATAAAGACTCTGAATTATTTCCTTATTTACACGAAGCTATAGAGATTTGATTTACAAGTATTTCCCTCTGTAGCATATTACAGAACAATTTGGTTAATTTTGAGCTAATTTACCTTGCAAATATTCAACTCTCTGATATTCAAACATAAAAGATCTCTTCTGAAGACCTTATAAAGCAAAATTTTAATGCTATTTTTTAAATTTGGTGGAAGATGTAAATAAAGATTTATTTGCAGGATTAGTACAAAGAAAATCATACCCAGGCACATCATAATCAAACTGGCTGGAAACCAAAAATAAAGAAAAAATCTTGAAAAATAAAATCTTTTCCAGTTTTCCTTTTCATCTGGGAACTTTTATGTAGTAACATAAATCACAGAAAAACTTTCATCTTCCACAGCTCACTCTTTCACCCCAGAACAATGTACTACTCTCAATTATATGACTCAACCATTAGCAATTCCTTTCTACTTTCTACAGAAAGTTGGCAATATAGAAAATAAACTTTTATTTATCTACTTACTTACTTTTATAAACAAATGCTTAAGTATTGCCTAACATTACCTCTAACCTTACAGAGGCTCAAATGCAAAATTTCCCTAGCTAGCCCAATAAACATGGACTCATTAATGGGTCATATAATTGACAAATTATTATTTGAGAAGTTCCCCTTTTCCAAAAGGTACTATATCAAATGACTTTCAGCCCTGACTGGTATAGCTCAGTGGGTTGGGCATCATCCTGCAAACTGAAAGGTTGTGGGTTCAATTTCCAGTCAGGGCACATGCCTGGGTTGTAGGCCAAGTCCCTAGTTGGGGGCATGCAAGAGGCAACTGATAAATGTTTCTCTCACACATTGATGTTTCTCTCCCTCTCTTCTCCTATTTCTAAAAAATAATAAAACCTTTAAAAAATAATTTTCAAAAGAGAAAGAGATAATATTTAAATAAAACGGCAATTGCAGCCATTCTATTTTTACGAAGACTTTATTTCAGAGTTTTTTTTTGTTTTAAATGATCATCTATAAAAGATGAATAAATAGTATTTGAAACTGAAATAAGGAAACTTCACAGCTTGTCAACTTCCTTTGTGCCCACTTTATCCTTACAAAGACCAGAATACCATAAGAATAAGTCATAATTTTCTAGGTTTTCTTAACTTAATATAAAAATTATCAGCCCTGGCTGGCGTAGCTCAGTGGATTGAGCGCGGGCTGGGAACCAAAGTGTCCCAGGTTCGATTCCCAGCCAGGGTACCTTCCTGGGTTGCAGGCCATAACCCCCAGCAACCACACATTGATGTTTCTCTCTCTCTCTCTATCTCCCTCCCTTCCCTCTCTAAAAAATAAATAAATAGAATATTAAAAAAAAATTATCTCAGCTTAAGAAGCATTAATACAGCATTCTTTCTAGTTTCCTTTTTCTTTTTCTTTTTTAAGATTTTATTTATTTACTTTTAGAGAGGGAAGAGAGGGAGAAGGAGAGAGAGAAACATCAATGTGCAGTTGCTGGGGGCCTGTGGCCTGCAACCCAGGCATGTGCCCTGACTGGGAATCGAACCTGCGACACTTTGGTTCGCAGCCCGCACTCAATCCACTGAGCTACGACAGCCAGGGTTTCTAGTTTGCTTTTTCCATAAATAACATACATTGTTCTATTAAGAGCCCTTAAGACTGAATAACAAATTTAGCTTTCAGAATTCCCAATTTTGAACAATTCTGACTGAGGTATTTTTATGAAAACAGTCACCTTTTGCAATTATATTCTATATCTCAAGAGAGGTAAAAGCAGCAGAGTGATATTTTTTAAAAGTTTGTAATTAGTTAAATTCATCAATAACAGTGGGTCTACGAAATATGAAAAATTATTTGTAAATACTTACATGCTGGATGATCAGACAGACATCCCTAATATATATGTCTTGAAAATGACCAGATAACTATAAGAATCACTGAAAATCCATTCCTTTGAACACTTAGGCAAGAAGTATATCTTTAGTTATGCAGGGTAACATATTATTGTTATATCTGAGTACTTACTTTCTATTTAACTGGTTAGGTCTCTTGAGAACTGCAACTGGTTTTCTCTGAACTTCATTCTGTCTCAAAAGGTTTGCCTTCCTTTTTAACGCTGGAAAATATCGTTCTATATTCTTTCAGAAAGCAAGAAACTATGTTAATCAGATTGTTTTTTGCTATATACCTTATTACAGTAAGCATTTCTGAGGCAGAATGGACAGGGACTGACCCCTGCTTTAGATGTGCAGGTTTCAGAAAGAGACAGGCTAAAATGATTTGAATATTTCCAGTCTAAGTGACTGTAGAGACAATCACATTACACTCAAAATACTTGCAATTAAAGGAGAATTTGGACCAAAAAATTATTTTTTTCTATTTTGGCTCTGTTCAGTTCGAAGTGCTCTGGGACATGTACAGATGATGGAGATATATAGGCCTGGAGCTCAAGAGAGAATGAAGGCCCGAGATGTAAATTAGGGAATCATTTTTACAAACATGTTTTTTTACATCAAGTAAAGGGTAAGAGGGGCAAGTTCCAAAACAAATGTGTGAAAGAGAAAAAAGAGGTTTTAATAGAACAAAAAACTGAGTGGAAATGGTTACAGAGGAAAAAAATCAAGAATATTCAATGCCACAGAAAATAAGCTCATGAAATGTCCACTTCTTCTCCCTCCATATATGTAAATTCAATCTGTCACTAAAGCCTAATTCAGGTTTCTCTATTTTCCATGAGGTCTTTTTAAAAGTCCTTAACAATAAGAGCCATATCTTAATCCGAATTCCCTTGTATTTTAAGCATATGTAAACTACTTCATAAATATCAGATAGACTAAAAACTGCAAAAATTATGAAAGTCTTCATTTTCATGAACATTTGGCAAAGAAATAAATATAAAAACAGAGATAAAGAATTATCAAGAGTACAAGAGAAATGCTATGAAATCAGACTAATGGCCCAGTTCAAGCTTTGTATTTTGTCTTTAATAACGCCACCACGAACCTTTTCATAGATAAATGTGAAAGCTCTTTCTATAATGCTGTTGTCATGTTATTTTCCTTCAAAGCACCTGCCATATTATAATAATTTAGTTATTTGTGTGATAATTTATTTAATGTTTATATGTGTTCTCCACGAGGACAGGGATTTTCCTATTGAATTATTGCAGAATCCCTTGCGTCTAGCACGTAGTGGGTACTCAGTCAACATTAGTTAAATGATAAATACATGGAAAAGAACTTAGAAATCCATTGATATATAATGAATTTGTGTTCCATGGATTCAATGTTTGTGTATATATATAAACGTATACCTAGAAATAAGTTTGTGTGTATGTGCATGTATACATATATAATTTTTTTTGAAAGGCAACAAGCATTTATTTGCAATCCAAAAAAATAGCTATTTGGGAAGCACTGATTCAGGCCAAATCCAAATAGTGTTCTTTCACAATAATTTTGATATAAAAATATTATTCCTTGAGGAAAAGAAATTAAGGTATTTATTTTTATTGTTAATTGAATTAAGGTATTACTTAACATACAATAAAATTTTAAGTGTACAGCTTAATAAGTTTGGATAATTACATATAATCATGTAACCACACCATAACCAAGACATGGAACAGTGTCCTCACTCTAAAATGTTTCCTTGTGTTCCTCTGCTGTCAACTGCCTTTCCTCACCAGACTCCTATCCTGAGCAGTGATTGATCTATAGTTTCTCCTTTTCTACAATTTCAAATACAGCAGGTCCTCGAATAAAGTCTCTTTGTTCAATGTCATTTCGTTAAATGTTGATGAGATGCCATCAGATTTATACCACTTAGCCTATGGCTTAAAATGTAAGCTTTGCGCTTAAAGCTAAAGAATCCATCCTCAACGTTAAGTGAGGATTTACTGTAAATAGAATCATATAATACCTAGTCTCTGTGTTTGACTTCTTTTGCTTAACAGGATGTTCAGATATATCCTTGCTGTTTTGTGTATTAACATTTATTCCTTTTTTATTGCTGAAGAGAATTCGATAGTATGGAGATAAGGTGCTTATTTTTAACTGTCTAAACAGACAAATGATTAAAACTACCTGTTAGTAGAAAATAACATCTATGTGTTTTACGTGTATAAACACATATACATATACACAGCAACAACTTTTTTTTTTAACTTCACAGAAGTACCAAAGGGTTTAGTATTATCAGAAGCAAGTTAAAAGTTCTATAAAACATAACATACCCACAGTTTGGGGAAATTCTAAATCAATACTATCAAAATCCTTGAATAACTTATATATAACTTTACTTCTTGGTAGATATTTTAAGTTGACTTTCTCTAACCAAAACAAAATTAATTCTTAGAGACAACCATTCCCTTCTTAGCACAGCTATTCACTCTATTTACATTAGTAGTATTTAATAGTAATGTAAATGAGTACATAATCTTTTCCACTTAGTTATTCACTTCATAGGTAAGAAAAACCTGTTTCTATTGAAATAAAATCTATATAGTTTATAAATTACAAGGAAGAGACAAAATAACAAATCTAATTAGAACTTTTTTAAAGTGTAAAATTTTGAAGTACATATAGCAATTCAAAGCCAATTAAGTTATTTAGGTGACTTATGTAAAGAAAGGAAAGGGACGGTGTGAGTTATTCATATGTAAATAGACATTTTCTACACTCTGAAAAACAATCTGCTTCACAATTGCTATATTGTACTCTAATCAGACTATTAATCTATATTCAGGTTGAGAAAAGGGTTTTTAAAAGAAACAGCAAATTTCAAACCATATCTTTGCCAAAAAAATCATACAAACTTTGAATATACAGACTTTATAATCCAGAACATTGTTAGCATTCTATAATTTAACATTTTTGATTTTCACACAACTCAAAAGACTACCACATATGGTAACTTAAAAGTTTTACTAGAGCAAGTAATTAATTAGCAGTTAAACCCAAACTCCCTTCCAGTATCCATATATTATGATTTTTTTTTTTTTAATTTCAAGATCTGTGATCAAGTTTTAGAGGAAAGAACATCTGTTGTTGGTGGCAGAATTGAAGTAAAGGAAGAGATGTAAAACAGTTGTGGTTCTTAACCAGAATACACACACTTAAGATAATTTAAGGAATAAATGTTCTGAAATTTTTTACAAGTATGTACTATTTTCATAATCAGAGAAACCACAAAGATTAAAAATAGAAGAACAGAACATTAAATTCCTTGGTGGACCAGACCTACTAAACAAGAAATAGAAGAAAAACCATTTCTGAAACTATTTTAGGGAATGCTTTAGCTAAATCAAAAATGACTCATTGAGATGTAAGTAAAACCAGTTAAAATTTGAGAAGTAGTTAACTTATGGTAGGTAAATCATTGTAATTCTAATTAAAAAAATATCAATGAGGGGACAGTTTTCTACCCAAGAGAAATGAAATGTTCATAGAAACATTATTTATAATGCCTAAAAAGTAAAAACAACTAAACTGTCTATCAATTAGTGAATGGATAAACAAAACATAGTATATCTATATAATGGATATACTATGAAAAATTATTCAGTAACAAAAAAGAATAAAATATTGGTACACGCTTCAACGTGATGAACCTCAAAAAAAGTTGTCTAAATACCTGACCAAATATTATTGTATGATTCAATTTATGTAAAATGTGCAGAAAAGACAAATTTACAGAAAATGTACAAAAAGTAGGTTAGTGGTTTCCCAGGGCAGATAATGAGATGTAACTGTGAATGGACATAAGATTTCTTTTTAGAGTGATAGCAATGTTCTAAAATTAGATCGTTGTGATGATTGTATAATGGTAAATTATTTAAAATTTATTGAATGTATGCTTAAAACAAATACATCTTGTAGTATAAAATTATACCTCAATAACCTGTTAAAAATCTCTCTCACAAACACACAACACACACAAAAGTGTGCACGTGCATGTGGAAAATCAGGAACCTATAAAAATTTTTATATTGTTTAAGAATGTGGAAATTTAGGCAGTACTCATGAATAACAATGATTTTTAAAATCTCATTTAGTTAATGACATAATTATGTAAAAACAATGAAAATACTATGTAAAAAAATGAAAATACTCAAAATGCTCTCTCAAGGTCATTCACAAATTAGTACAAATACAGGACAAGAGTATCTTACCCAAAATTAAGTCATCATCCTACCTTGTCACTTAGAGGTGGCCGATTCATAGGACTCATCCCTTTTCGAATTCCAGTTGTTTTCCTAGCTGCAAGGCCAGTGACAACTCCATAAGGACGTCTCTTGCCAGGCATTATTCTTCCTCTACGACTCAGACTATTCTTACCAAAACCTGTAGGGAAAAAAAAAGAAGAAAAAAATATCAATCTAAGAATGCAACTGAGGGGTACACATGTGACAAGATATTTTATAGTATTATTTTTATATATTTCTTATGAATTGCATAAAATATCTCATTTTTAATGAGGCAGTAACTTGCACTGGAAAGGGTTCTCTTGCAGTAATAAACTACAAAGGACTAGAAGATTCTCACATTTCACCTCTAGCTATCCCTCTCTCTTTGGCATTACTTTCTTAACAGGGAAGTCTCAACTTTCCCTGTGCAATGTTTTGGCCACTAACCACATGTGGGTACTGAGTACTTGAAAAATGACTAGTCTAAAATGAGATGTAACAAAAGAAATGTATATTCCATAAATAATTTTATATTATATGTTACAATGATATTTTGGATACATTGGATTAAATAAAATATATTATTAATATATGGCTCACACTTTAATTTCTATTGATGGTACTGATCTAGAGTGGAATCACTATCTTTATTTCCTATTTACTTACTATATTGCAATCGGGCTTCTTTATTTTCAGTCCTACTATATTCAAACTGTTTTTGCTAAATCCCCCAATGAGTTCCAATGGACATATTTTATTTATTTTTAAATTATATTATATTGATTATGCTATTACAGTTGTCCCAGTTTCTCCCCTTTTCCCCCACCTCCACCCAGCACCCCCCACTCCCTCAGGTAATCCCCACACCCAATGAAGATATTTTAATCTCTGTGGTGTGGGATATTACTGACTTTGCTTTTCCATTATGTATCTTATTTACTTTTTTTCTAATTGTGAAAAATAAATAGGCTCACTGCAGAACACTTAGAAACATAAATTTACATTACCCATTATTCTACCACCTAGAGATAATCACTACTAACATTCTATGTCTTTCTAGTCCTTACTTGTACATTTTAGGGTTAACATTTTTAGTTTCAACCATTTTTAACCAACTCCCAAGACTATCACATGAGGTAAATCCTAATTTTGTAGTACTAAGTGCCTAGAAGGTAGACTGAATCAACCTTCCAGCACAACCACTTTGTGGTCTATGAGAAGGGAACAAAAAAAAACAGTATTTATAAAAAATTGTATATTTATTCTTACATGTTTAAACTTCAGTCACCCTCAAAGTGCTCTTCATTAGGTGCAATAAACCTATCAAGACTTTTTCCCCCTGCTGAAACCTGCTTGAACTTGTGATTTTGATGCCATTTAGTGCTTCTGCCTTTTGTTTTCTTCCACATTGCAAAAAACATTTCCCTTTGAGGACTTTTTCACCTGGGAAACAAAACAAAATTGCTTGGGGCAAGATCAGGTGACTATGGAGGAGGGTGGGGTATGGGGATCATTGTTGCTCTTTGGTCAAAAACTAGTCAACACTCAGCAGGGTGTGGGCAGGTTGGCTGGTAAATTGCCCATTATGAAATGGGCAAAGGCACTGAAAGAGTTTTAACAGGGGGAAATTAAGAATAGTATGGGAAATGGAGAAGCCAAAGAACTTATAAGTATGGTCCATGGACATGAACTAAAGTGGGGGAAATGGAGGGGAATAAAGGGGAGAAAAATAAGGAACAACTGTAACAGCATAATAAATAAAATATATATATATTTTAAAAGTCTTGAAAAAAATTCACTGAAGCCAAATGCAGCTTCTCACAACAATGCCAGCTAGTGTACGCTGATGCAGCGCCCCATGGGTCCCTAGAACACTCACCTAGCAGGGACAGCTTGTATTACAAGGGGCCACCCTCCAAAAGATAATTCCAGTATTTTTTGGGTTCCCCCTCATATGTTAACACTATATTGTTACTATTGTCTCAGGTATTTCATATTCTTCTATTACATTATTTTTAATGTACATATACTTAATCCAACCAATTTCATACTAATCATTTCAGTTACTTCTAATGTTACACTATTATAAACATTATAGTAACACTATAGATAACATTTTTATTATACATTCATGATTATTTCCTGAATATATAAATTTCCAGAGGCTGAAATGCTGTATCAAAGAGTAAAGCAAATTCTTAAGGTTTCTGATTTACATTACAACACTCCCCTCCAGAATGACTGTATTTATTTATATTCCAGGAACATAAAAGTACTACTTTTTCCATATCATTGACTACTCTGAATAGTATTCTTTTTAACCTTTATCATTTGGTGTTTTAAAAGAATTTTGTCAATGAAATGAAATTTTTTCTTGCTGGAAAAAATAAATAAAATTTTGTCTTATTTGGTAGTTTACTAGCGAGAATAAATATCTTCCATGTGTTTTTTGGCTATCTGTATTCTTCTATTCATGACCTATCATGTTCATAAATCAGTTTTCTAGGGTCAAGTTCTAATTTCCTTTGATGCTTTGATAAAAGAATTACATTAAATTTACAATTAATTTTTCAGGAATTTACTTCTTTCAAAATATTCTACAATATTTCGGAACAAGGTATGTCTCTTCCCTTATTCAAGTCTTCTTTTGCCACTAAATTGGCTCAGTAAAGCTGTAAGGTTTCCTTCCCATAGGTCCTGCTCATTTCTTAAGTTTATTATTAGGTATTTTTGTTGTCAATCACAAAAGATCACTTTTCTTATAATAATTTTCATACTGTCATGCCTGGGATTACAGAAAGCTACTGAGGTTTTAATTATTGCCTTTTAACTAGCCATCCCACTGAACTCACTTACTAGTTTTAACAGTCTTTCAAATTATTTTCTGGGGATTGCTGAGTGGCAATCATATTACCCACAAGTAATACTGTCTTCTTCCTTCTAATAATTATACCCCAAATTCTTTTATTAATGCAAGTCAGAAATTCCAGAGAGCCATGCTAAATAATATTTGTGATACTGGGCATTTATAATTCTAATTTTGAGGAGAATGTCTTTAGAATAGTATCCTGTATAATACTACATACCTGCAAGATAGTTAACAGGTCTTTCAACAGAAAAGTTTCATGATCAAACTATATTAAAAGTTTTCTTTACCACAGGATTTCTCAGGGGTAACGTGTATAAAGATTCTCTAAGATGGGCATAATAGAGAATGAGGTCTGCCCAGAAAAAGTCCAGCCATTGTTATTATAATGAGAACAGTTTGTGCGACATTGATGTAACCTGGCAGCCAATGTGAGTGGACTGAAATGAGCATGCGTGAACAATGATGACTTCACTGTGCTAGTCAGTGGGGGCAGTAGATGTTGTTGAGTGAGCATCTGTACTGTGTTGCTGCCACATTCAAAATGGCTAAGTGAGTAGAGCAACAAATCTGCACCAAATTTTGCATTAAGCATGAACATTCCTCTGTGGAAACTATTCAGATGATTCCAAAGGCTGCAGCTATGGGCAGCTGGTGATTGGCAGATTTATCATGACAACATACTTGCTCATGCATCACATCTCATGCAGAATTTTTTGATGAAACATCAAATCACCCAGGTGACTCAGTGCCCCTACAGGCCAGATTTGACACTCTGTGACTTCTTTATTTTCCCAAAACTAAAATCACCTTTGAATGGGAAGAGATTTCAGACCATCGATGAGATTCAGGAAATTATGACCTGGCGATTGGGAGAAGTGTGTAAGGTCCCAAGGTGCCTACTTTGAAGGGGACTGAGCTATCATTGTCCCATGTACAATGTTTCTTGTATCTTCTTCAGTAACTGTCCCTATTTTTCTTATTATGTGGCTGGATACTCTCTGGGCAGACCTCACATGTCATTCATTCCCAAACTTACCTATTTTGAAACCAGAGTTCAACAAGAAAGTTAGGAAAACTTATTATGTTATGATGGTTGAATTAGTTACCAATTTATGGCCTTTTAGCTCTCAATTCACTTTATACTGCCCTGCTTCAGTTATAGGAACATTTCTCTTACCAGCAGGCACCAGGTTAAACTTTCTCAGTAGAGGGCTCTGGAGGTACATCAAGGCTTGTTCCTGTGGCACAGGACACCCAATGGCACCCATTATGCCTCCCTCATAAGCTGAGACTATGGTGAGGCAAAAGAGGTGCCCAGTGCACAAAATTTGAGAGTGAGTGATGCCTTCAATTTTGAGCCCTAGGCATCTCTCTAGATCTCATCCCAGGCACCACTATACTCTGACCCTACTCACCCTCCAGTGAATTTAAGTTGTATCACCCCAACAGATGGCTTCCCAGTAAGTTCCTTCAGCATGGCAGCTCAGTTGGTAGGGAGATCTTCCAGATTTGTTCCTTTCTTGGGTGCTCTGCCTCAGAACTAAAGGTACTGAACTTACTACTTTTATAATCAAAGAAAAAAGCAATGAAGTTAAATTTATTCTTTTTTAAGATTTTATTTAGTTATTTTTAGAGAGGGGAAGGGAGGGAAAAAGGAAGGGAGAGAAACATCAATGTGTGGTTGCCTCTCTCAGCCCCCTGCTGGGAACCTGGCCTGCAACCCAGTCATGTGCCCTAACTGGGAATTGAACCAGTGACCCTTTGGTTTGTAGGCCAGTGCTCAATCCACTGGGCTACACCAGCTGGGGTGAAATTAAAATTTAAAAAATCAAATTATTGCTGCTCTATGTGTGGTCTTCTTTTGGAATTGCAACCAAAAGATTAAGCATGTTGGGGGAACATGTCTATTCAAATTAAATATACAATTACTTGCTATTTTATTTTTATTACATGAAGCACCACTGTGCTGAAAACTTTAACCTAAATGAGAACTTGATGAGGTTGATGCTAATAGCTCAATTTTGTAGGTGATCAAAGTGAGGCAAAGAACAATGACTACCCAGAGGTTATAGTTAGAAAATGAAAATTCAAGTTTGTGTGGCTCCAAAAACTGAAGATTTTTCCAAACTGCTACGTAAAAACTAAAGAATAAAAGGAAGAATATATTCTATGGTATAACTCCAAAGAGAAAAAAACATTATAGAAAAAGTGGCCTCAAAGCTAGATACTACAAAATTTGAATAGGTATATAGACATGAAGTGACAAGTACAAAGATATGGGCAACTAC